TTATTTCTCTTAATGACAAGCCTTCCTTCTGTTAAAAAAGGGGGCTTTATTCTGTTTCAGTCATTTATTTAAAATGAAAAACGTGTCACGGCCGCAGCTTTTTTCTTCCCCCCTTTTATTTTATTTGCCTCTTGTCCTCTCCCCCTCTTCCCAAAGTGGAAATGAAACAAAAAAGAAGACGACTGGGGCGGTGGGGGCAGGAAGCAAAAGGAACAGAAGAAAACCCACAAAACTGCACTGAAAAGTCTCCGAGCACAGTGAAACCCATGCGTGGTGTGTCCTCGGGTATTTAACAGCATCCAGGGGTGCCTCCTCCGGCCTCCCGCCTGCTATTCAATCCGCTTTTTTATTAAACATGGTGCAAATGTGCTCGGTGCCTTCCTCCCCAAGCACATCCTCGCAGCAGAGCCGGCACTGGGCTGCAGCAGTTGTGCAGGCTGGTGGGGCTGAGCGCCCTGAGCTGACTCCCCAAGGCGGGAAGAGGCCTTTCAAATGGCATTGCTCTTCTCCAAGGTCACTGCTTTCCTCCCAAAGAGCAAAGTGCAGGCCATGGGGAATCGGTGGGAGTTTCACCGTTGATTTCGCCAAGATGAAGATTTAACTGGAGAGGACAGACCTGGAGCTTCTGGAAAGGACGCGCCTTCAAACGCAGCAGCCAGATGGAAGCTCTCTGCTTAAGGCACATCCCCAGTTATTCCACCTGGGCTCTTTGGGCCCAGGATGACCAGTGTGGGGCTGTTGGGGACTTTATCCGGGGGCAAACTGGTGCGAGCTCTTGAGGTGGTGAGTCCCAGGGGTGTGGGAGTGGCTGGAGTCCCAGGGAGGGTGCTGGAATGGAGGAGCCCCAGCCCTGAGCCCCACATCAGGTGCTGCACCTCCAGAGAGGACTTCCAGGCTGAGCATCCTAAAGCAAGCGGTGTTTCCAGCCAGGAAATCCCAGCCGGGAGCCGCAGCAGCCCTACCCACTGTACCCCATTTTGGTAGGGTCTACCAGAACGATGCACGGGTGCAGACATCTTCATCCTGTGGGCTGAAGTGGCAGAGGAGTTACCCACCACCCAGCGCTTGGTCCTCCGGGAAGGCTTTCGAGCCCTGACCGCTCACTCGCAAGACAGGCCCTGGGAGCGACGGCGAGGGCTGGGGGCACCGGCTCGCTCCCCCGGCTCCTGCGAGGAGTTTACAGCCTCTGCAGGTACAGGGGGAGAAGCCACCTCAGCACGGCTTCAGGCAATACCTCAGCAATACCACACGTCAAACCTTCTCTTTCTTTCTTTCTCTTTAAGGCTATGTAATTTCTCTGTTACGTCTGAGATTTCGCTCCGGGTCAAAATGCAGCTACATGGGTTTTAATTGATTTTTTGCAATGCTTTCAACTTGAGGTTTCTTTCATTTTAACCACTCCTTGTCTTTTAAGCCAAAAGAGGTAGCAAATGACATTAATCATTTCTGAACCAAGAGTTTGCTGTGACTACTTTAATGTCTTCCTGGCTTTTTCAAATCCTGCTTTGAGGTTCCCATTTAG